GCAACTTCTGTCCTCCGGGAAATTCTGAGCTATTTAAACTTTTTTTTTTAACACCTAGGATAAAAAGCTGAAATTACACACATGGATTTTTTTTTTTTTTTTTAAGTGGGGTATTCCAAACCATATCTTTCTGGTGTGGCTGGGGACTTCCCAGTTTGGCTCTGTAAAGGAATTCACTGCAGAATAAAGCAAAATTACTGCTCCTACCTTATTGGCAAAGCAGGCAGATTTTTCTCCTGAGATTTCCTTATCTGTGTATTTCATAGTCCCAGATGATTCAGCCCCATAGCTGTACCATCACTGGGACCTTTCATCTCTGCTGATACTTTGGCTGTTTTCACTGCTTGCAGAATGAGTGGGACCAGGCTCACCATTGCGATGATTCATCATGCAACCTCTTCTCTGGCTACAAACTCCAAACCTTCCGCACTCACCGGGGTCCCTGCAATCTCTGAGATCTTTAAAGCCAAAACTACGGTACATACGTCCACATCTTGTACCACCCTCGCTGCATCCTGTGTGTGGTCCACGACAAAGGACTCCATAGACATGCACAGAGACCAAAGAGGGTTCTTGTTTCAGCAAAGCTGCTCAAATTTCTTGCTGTTGCTACTGATTCAAAGGTTGGATGAATTTGCTTCTGCCTTTTCTGCTGCTTCTCAGCTAAAAAGGCTCCAAAGACCCATCGTCCAATGCTAGACCACAGAGGTCTAGCATCTTTAGCTCGTTCCAGGTAGGGAGAGAAGAAATGGGCAGAGCAGGAAGGGAAAGAGCCCGTCTAGTGGCAGACTTTGAAAATATCCCTTGCGTTGGGCATGGCTGGATGGGATTAATGTCTTTTGAGCCTGCGTGGGTTTGTTTGGTAATTGGTATCTGCTTTTGACATGAAAAAACATTGTAGTAACTATCACACACACACAGAGAATAATGAGCAAGTGAAAAAGCTTAATTAAGACAATCTTGGCTCAAAGAACATCTCCTTGTTTAATGTATTGCACTCAGGTTAATTACCAGTTCAAATATTTACTGTAAAGTGTGTTCTTTCAGTTGATTGCTGCAGCTGTGCCATCTCTTCTGCCTCGTACTGCAGGGACATGCTGTGGAGATGACTTTCTTGGAGATTACTTTCTCTCTGTTCCTGTCAGAGTCCCACCTCTTCCTCCTCTTCCCACATCCTTGTCTTGGTGTATTTAGTGCAGAGAGATGCTTTATGAGAAGGTGAGTTGCCCTTTCTAGTCTATAAATTAAGTCCAGAGTGAGTGGGTCAGTGTGATAAGGCTGTCTTTTTTGAAGCCAAATTTATGGCAGAAGCATTCCACCCTGGACAGGGTTGCTGAAATGGAAAATGCTGGTTACAAAGGGTGGTGACATATTTGCAGGAGGTTGCCTGACACAGAAGTAGAGTCATCCCTGTCTTCATACTGCTCTTTCTGCAACACACCCAAGACATGCTTAGTTTTTGGAGGGGGGAAACCCTCTGAGTTGCCCATCTGTCTCCATGGATGATGGAGGAGACCTGGACCATGCACTTAGTCTAGATGGCTTTGCTTCTTCCCACTTTCTTCTTCATCTCCTTGACTGTCATAGGCTTTGGCTTGGAGTGCTTATATTGGTCAGGCAAAACATCAAAACCAAAACATTTCATAGAATAAAATTACTGGAATGGTATTGTAAAATTATTAATATTTTTTACTGAAAGAACTGAATGGAAACATTTCTCAATTATCAAACAGTTTTCTCTGGTTATTTTCAACTGACAGAAAATCCAGTTCCCCAACTTAAAACAATTGGTTTTTTAAGATAATTTTTATTAGAAAGAAAAGCAAAAAAATAATCAAAACAATCCTCAAGATTTAAAAAAAAAAAAAAGTGGGAAGGAAAAATAGCAATCACTTACCAGGAAATGTTCCTGATCTTGTCATACAAGCTTTAATGAATAGTTTGAAAACCATTTGAGATGAACCTTTTCCTTTTGCTACTGTGACAAAATCTTAAGAGCTAGCCCATTCAGCTGTGGCTATAGAGAAAAAATAAATGCAGCCTTCATTTTCCTCTTTTGTTTGCTAAAATTTTAGCTAAGAATATTTGGGTGTTGGCTCAAACATGAGGAGGAAAGGAGCTGCCCTTGTTTTGGAAGAGGTAGTATCATCTTCCTTTCTTCTCTTTATTATTCAGTCCACTAAAAGATAATTATTCTCCCACTGAAATTAGGCAGTCGCCTACTGCTTCCTCGGTTGGGATGGGAGAAGTCACCCTTGCTAATGTTAGGAAGCTATTTTAGACTCCTGTCTGCAGTTCACCCCCGAAGCAAGAGAATGAGGCACCGCCACTGACAGCCCAGGCTTGTGTCTTCTCTTATACGGGGACACCTTGGTCCTGACTTTAATGGTCAGGAGGGGAAAGCTCTGGAAAACCTGGGGCTTGCTGGGCTTTCACCCCTCCGAGGCTGGGAACGTCATGCAAAGCCAGTCCCTGTTTCGACGGACCATGGAGGGAGAGCGAGCAAGGGCAAGACCAACTGGTGGAGTCAACCGGCAGCAGCTGGTGAGGACTAACCCCAGGTCACAAAGCTGTGGCTTTCTCCACCTCCTCTTTCTCAAGCAACCATCTTTTTTAGCAACAGCAAAACATGGCCTCTGAAACAAAGCCAAGCCGAGTTGTTCTGGCTATGGATTGTGAAGGGACGGCCATGCGTCCTCATAGCCACAAGGAAGACCCAAACTTGGAGCCACAGCAGTTCCTGGAGAGCCGTCCTGCGCACACCGCCTGGCCATGGCCCACAGTGATATCTCAAAACTGCGCAGGGATTTGGCGACATTCAGGCAATTAACTGGAGCTGCCTAATATCTCAGCAGGGTCTTTAAGGATTGGGCTTGCCGCCTTTCCAAATGACACTTGCAAGCGGTGAATGCATTAAGCTCAGATGCAACGTTACCCACCTAGGTGGGCTCCATCTTATCTAATTGTAGCTCACTTACAAATAATATAAACTGCTGAACTGGGTTTTCTCGTTTGAGAGAGGGGCTCAGGTGGAGGACTGTCCACCTCACCTAACCAGTCGCTGACACGCAGATGGTCAAGGTTAGATGAAACAGTTTCTACTCTCAGCATAGAAATGACATCTCATGCCCTTCCCCAGAGGTGCTTATCTTCTTCCTTGCATCAGTCTTTAATATTCACTTTTTTTTTAGGTTGCAATTAGAATTTTGCCCTGTGACAGCGGGGAGATGAGTGGTGCCGTGTGACCTGTAATACTTCATGTGCTGGAGACAAGAAGACATTCACTCTGATAATAACGTCTGCTAATCCAGCGGATGACAGGCAGGGTGTATTCGTCTGAGTACATGCAGGCGTCTCGCATGGTGATGTCTCTATTTGCGCTAATACGCCTGCCCGAGGCTGCCTGCAGAGCCAGGAGAGATCTAATTGATGCAGTCAGTAGAGTCTAGAGCTTGATGCATTTCATGCTAAATTAGGCACCTGTGTTTGGTCAGATGAATAACCCCATGGAAATGTTGGTTTCTCTCCACGAAATGAGCCCCCGGCAACCAGCTCATTTGTTGAGCTCAACATGGGAGACTTCAAAACTGAGACAAAGTCAATCCCACCCCGTTATGGCCAAGAGATCTCACAACATATCTCTTTGCCTTTGAAGTCATACGGGATAAATGTCACACTCTGTCAGCCCTAACACCACTGAAGCAAAAGTTTTTATGTCTGAAATATGTATGACTCTGGCAGTGCACAGCCCTCATCACAAGCCTGTTGAGCCCAGGTCTGCGTTGGCTTCTGTGTTCATTCAACCGCTGTGACGTGGAAGGATTGAACAAATACGTTGTTCTGAGGTTGCGGCAGTGAATGAAGCTACAGGATGGCAAACTTGTCATAAAGGACATCTTACGGTGCTCAGAATTATTTTGGAGGTTTCTTTGACATCAGTTGCTACTTGAGTTATAAAATATCTTATAGGTGGTGTGATATAAGGAGGTAAATAAAACAGAATAAACACCATTGGACTCTCCTGGCATCTGAGTGCCACTGTGCTCCAAACTGCCTAAAGAGAATCAAAATATGTTTGATTCTTTCTTCCCCCCATAAACTGCGAAAGAGTACTTCTTCACCCATTTTGTAATTTCTTTAAATACCATCTATGGAAAAATGCAGAGACGAAACATGTACTTTCAATGCAGTTTATTGAAGGCGCAGTGGAAAGCTGGGAAGTCTGAGCAGTCAATGAAAGAAGCTCTGTTCATGTGAGTATAAGATGTCAGCTCAGAAGATTTATGCACCAATAACTTCCCTTGGCATTTTGGGGGTAGGGATGGGGGGTGAGCTCTTCTAAAAATCAGCACGCTTTGAACTAGCCACCCCTAACATGCAGAAGCAAATGAAAGTACTACGTATTCATCTGTAAGCAAATTCCACAAAAAGCCTATGGCTGCAGTGTAACTAGCAGGTGCTTTGAAAGTTGAAATTACCTTGTTTAAAATTTAAGCTTAATTTTGCAGCTCAGGGTTTCTTCTTTGACCAAAAAAAAAAAGCAGGGGGGGAGGGGTGTGTTCTCCCAGTGCCTCCTGGGAAAGTTAAATCATCACTCTCTTTTCTGAAATGCTTTGGGAGGAGCTGGAAGAACAGCTTGTGTCTTGCAAGGAAGAACATTGTTAATGAATCTGCTCGTTATGGGAAAAGCCAGCAAAGGCAGCGCAACAAGCAAACCCTTAAAGCTGTGATAATCTAGACAGTATAAACTCAGAGAAATAATACTGTGTTGAGCACCTGCTGGAGAAGCTTGCTAGATGCGTCTTTAGGGTTGGGGACTCTGAAAACATAACTTGGTGGGGTATATATCTGATGCTAATAAATGTGGGAATGGGCTCGGTGACAAATATTGCTACTAGTGGGCAGAGAAACTATCCTGCATCATCTCAGTGTTAGGAACTGCGTGTCTCGGTGTTGCTCTCCAACGTTGCTGGCTGTGCCACCTCCCCGGCTGACAGCCCCTATGGGACAACACACGGGTCTCTGACCACCCCGAAGTTCCCCACCACACCGTTGTTGCACCCCACAACTTCAGGGCTGTTTGCAACGACAACCGGAGAGCCCCCCAGCTGCCTGATGACGCAGCCTTGGTTTCCGAAGCTGACCACCCCACCAGCTTGGCAAGGCCCCATCCTAGCATTTAAGCCCCCATTTCCCGTGCTGATGACGGTGCGGGCTGGGTACCCCCCGCTCCGGGAACTGAATCCCCCATTTTTGCAGTTGACCCCTCCGGCTTGGCAATACACCTCTGGGACACACTGCTTGGCCACCGAGCTAATGACTCTCTTGGGGTGGATCCCAGCGCTCCGGGAGCTGAATCCTCCATTCTGGGAGCTGTGTCGTCCGGATCGTCTCCCCAGGGAGCCGTAGCCACACACAGCCCCGTTTGCAGCCAGCATCCCGCAGTCATCGGGGATATTGTAGCCACTGCTGACCACAGCTGCAAGACAGCCCATGGGATTAATTATTCAGAGAGGAAAACTGGAGGACTCTCACAAGGCAAGTTGTTTCATGAGTGACAGAACCGACCAAACCTGATTTCCTCTAGATTTATCCAACATATTTGAGCCCCTGCTCCTTCCAACTCCTCCCCCATGTCCCAACACGTCCCCTCACAGTTTCTCCCAGTTCCCACACGGCTCATCTGGCTGGTGGCATATTCTTTCCCAGGTTCAATGCACATCAGTGCATTGCCTGGCGGGTTCACCAGGGCAGCTCACTGTTGCCTCCAAGAGTAGAAAAGGGTCATGAATTTGACCTTCTCCCCCTCCATCTAAAAGCTGATTTTTTTTGAAATTCAGGGGTATTTGAGATTTCTGGGACTAAACCTTCAACATCAGCCTGGTCTGAAATGGAAAGGGAGGCAGAAGCAGAGGGGGCTGGGGCAGACAGGTAATGCTACTCCATAAACTGTCTTTCCTAAAATGAGAAACCCTCATGGCTGTAATTCTTCAGGTTACTTACACACGCTCACCGGGTTCCCCACACATATCCTGTTAGGGGAGATAAGAGAAATGCACGTTATCCTCTTAACCAGTTGCATGCACATCTAGAAACCTGACGTTACTCATAACTTCCAGCTGTACAACCAGCCCACTTAAGCCCTTGTTTTAACAAGTCTGACTATCCCTAGGACAGGAATTGTTTTTGCTGGCAAAAGGGTGGCCTGTATGGCCTCCAGCCATCTCTCCAGCCCCAGTCTCTGTGAGCCTGAAAGGATCCTGGAGCTGAAAAATTCACTTGGGAGCTGGAATCGTTCCGGACTTTGATATACAGGAGAAAAGGGACAAGGTCTCTCTCACCCACCTGCTCTCTTCACCCTCCAGTAGAGTCTTATATGTTGCAATCTCGATATCCAGGGCCAGCTTGACATTCAGCAGCTCCTGGTAATCCCGCAGCATGCAAGCCAGCTCATCCTTGGCCTTCTGGAGGGCATTCTGTAGCTCAACGTGCTTCTCCCGGGCATCTTTGAGAGCACAGTCCCCACGCTGCTCAACGTCACAAATGGAGGTTTGCAGGCAGGAGACCTGTCAGGGGGGAGGATAACAGTGCATATGTCTTCAAGGCTTCGTTTCCTAATTCCTGGACATTCTGGTTTTGGATTAATCTGCTCTTCCAATTGCAAACAGAGAAAAAACCACCAGCTTCCCTTCTCTCTATCCTCTTTTCAACAATATACTTTCCAACTACAGCCTAGGGCAGGTCTTAAGACTACTAAAGGCCAATGCGTCATCTTCCCCCATATCTGAGCTGTCCTCCAAGACATTGCCCTTTCTGGAAACATCACCTCTGGGCCTCTCCTACCTGCTTCTTCACGTTCTCCAGTTCACACTGCAGCTTCTGTATCATCCGGGTTAGCTCTGAAATCTCACACTTGTTGTTTTGCAGATCATCGCAATACTTGCCTCTCTTATCCTGAAGCTCCTGAAACTGGAACCAAGAAACAAGACAATCATCGTTTTTGACCTGCAGCCTGTTAAGTTGCCAGGCAGACAGCCAGGTTGCCTCTTACTCACCCTGGTTTGGTAGAAAGCATCAACTTCTTCTTTGCTCTTCTGAGCTATTTCTTGGTACCAGCATTCAACGTTCTTGATGATGCTTTCCATGTCCAGGTCTCGGTTGTTGTCCATTTTCACGATGACTGAAGTGTCGCATAGCTGGCGATCTACCTGAGCTCGTTCCTACAGGTCGGGGAATGGCTTAGTCAGCTGTTAGAAATTCTCAGACTTTATAGTGAAGGAAGGGCTGGGACAAAGAGCCACGCTGCTCAGCTGATGGATATAACAAGTCAAGAAGTGTCCCTCAGGTTGGCTCAGCAGAAAATCCTCCCTGCTGGATGAGTTGCCACATGTCAGCTGCTGACCTACATGCTGACCTGCAGCAATTCTGTCCACATCAAGGGCAAGGAATTTGAGTGACTTAACCCTTGGTATCCTGTCATCTTCAGCTGCTTTACTGATGTTAATGACAGGATTAAGCTGGGAGTTTCTTTAGCTCTAATCAGACAACTGCAATCCGGAGCAACTAGACAGACGCATCTCTTTTCTCAGGGGTAGGGTTAGGACACAGCCAATTCATACCTGGAGCTGCATTAAGAAAGGGGGAACCACCCTGTTTCCAGCATAATCATGTTAATATTGTATCAACCTTATACTTCCATGCTTTCAAGTATTCAGGGCTTGGGATGAGACATGTCAAAGAGGGGTTTCAAGCTGTAGAAATTTGGAGCACCTGAAGGATGAGACAGCACCACCAAACTCCTGGGACAGACCAGAGAAACTCACCTCCTCAAACACACATTTCAGCAACTCCAACTGCCTTCTTAACAGATCCACCTTCACCTCCAGCTCTTCCTTGTTCAAAAAGATGCAGTCTGCATCCTGAAAGAGAGGAGATACGTTCCAGCCCAATCTCGCTGAAAACATTGGAGAAACACACAGAAGACAGAGGTAGCGCCAATAAAACAGAGACATGTTTCAACAAGATTTCAAGAGCAGAAAGGTGTGAGAGGGTGAGTCAAGATGCCCTGGTGTCTCCTAAAGGAAAACAAAACCATTCCAACGTGACTTACAGGGATTAGTTTATTTATTACTTAGGACCTAGCTACAAACTCAGAATTGACTAACGAGTATTTAAACATAATTTTTTAATATTGTTCAAATGATTTCTGCTTTTCTGATGTCCAAGTATAAAGTATGTGAAGACAGAGTCAGAAAATAACCAGCGTCTTAGACACCAGGTATTCCGGTGTGACCTCTCCCACTCTGTCCCCCTGCCACAAATGCACCCTCCCATTACGCTTCAAGAATGTGCTTGGGGTAACAAAACTACTGCTGTAGTGCTGATGATGTAAGCTTTGAGGATACATTATTTTTACTTTCTACTTGCATTTCCCTTTTTTTTCTAACCCTGTGCCTCTTTACAGGCCTCCCTCCTTCTGCACATTGTAACACTTTTGCCAGGCATTTCCTAATAATGCACTTTTTCAACCAAGCTTTACACCAAATAAAACTATTATAGGTATAATAATTCATGTATTTTGAGCTTCTCACCTTTTTGAGTGCCACAAACTCATTCTCCACAGTTGTACGCCTGTTGATTTCCTCTTCATATCTGTTGGAAAAGGAGAAAAGGGCTGAGGCAAGCAATACTATCAGACACACAGACATTAACCATCAGGTATAAATAACAACCTTCGCTTGCTCAGAGACTGCCACCAGGCACTGTAAGATCAGTGTCTGGAAACCAAACATTAGACCATCCCAAGATCAGAAGCTTCTTCATGAACAACAACATTAACAATGCAAAGAGTTTGCAAGTGAGACAGAAGAATGTGACATCCCCAAAGGGGATATGCCACATGTCTGGAAGATGTTGCCTGAGATGAACCAGAGGAGAAGTGAAATGCCAAGAGCTAGAGGAGACCTGAAGGTCCTTACTTGCACTTGAACTCCTCCACCAGCTGGCTTGTGGCACATTCTTCGCTGCCCAGTTTTTGCTTTTCACATAGCAAGCAGTCCAGGCGCTTCCGCAGGTCGCAGATGTAATTCTCAAAGTAGAGTTCAAGGTTTTTCCCTTTCTTTGGTAGGACGTATTGCTGCAGGAGGCCCCACTTGGTCTCCAGCACTTTGTTCTGCTGCTCCAGGAATCGGACCTGCAGGCCATAAAATAGCAATTCTTCAAATAAAGAGATGAATGCAATAACTCGACATCTGGTTTAACTGACTGCTCTCACTGTGAAACTGCAGGTGGAAGAATAGGATTTTCAGGAAGTGAGAGGTGATATGCCACAATGATCATAAAATTATCTGCCCTTATTTAGAAATCTAAAAGTCACATGTCTAAATTATTTAGAAATCTAAAAGTCACATGTCTAAATCTGCCTTTCTCACCAATGAATAGAAATAAGGCTCCTCTGGATGGTGCTTCTCATGTATTTTAGGATGAGATTGAGTCCACAGAGGGTGGAACCTGTTTGTCTCTGTTTTTTCTACGAAGGGATCCTAAGGTGACAACTCAGATATCTAAGGTTTAGGTGCCTGAATCAAGATTAACCTCCTTTGCCTTCAGGAATGTTTTTTGGAACAGTCGCTATATTTAAAGACAAAAGGGGGGAAAGGGTCTAATGGAGGACAGAAAGATGACCCCGTCAGGGCTGTAACTTCTAGCTGAGCTAGAACAAGGCTGCCAGGAGAAATCCAGCCTTGAACCGAGGCTGTCCAGAGAGGATACACCTGCAAGAAAGTCCAGTGCTACCGTGGCCACGATACAAACACCAGCAAATACTAGGACTGGCATGTGGCTGAAATGAGCCCTTCCCCAGTACTGAAGATCCCAGTCCGAACCAACATGGCGCTGTGGGAATCTGGACCCTTGCTTGGACCCAGTGATTCATGGCATCAGCTGGACTGGGGTTTTGGAGGGGTTTCGTTGTGTTTTATTTTTCTCAAAGAAGCACAAGTACAGAGCAGGTTTGCACTCACCTTGTCGATGAAGCAGGCAAACTGAGTGTTGAGCGTCTTGATCTGTTCCTTCTCCTGACAGCGTATTTCATGTTCCAGTGGGTCGACCCCAACGCAGAGGGGCTTCAGAAGCCGTTCGTCGATGCAGATACCTTGGATGCCATCAGCTTTGCGATCGGGGTAACCTCTCACAATACTATATCCCCTGGGGCCACAAAGGCCAACCCTTCCTCCAACACTACCGTAGCCTACACCTCCAAAGCCGAACTCTCCAAGACATCCAGTACCGCAGACTCCATTCACGTAGGAAATTCTCCTGTTTCCACCCAGGTTGCAGACACTCCTGCTGCTATAGGCACCAGCTCCACATCGGACAGGTTGGCAGGCAGAGGCAGCGTAGCTTCGACCACAAATCTCCGAAGCTGAACTGAAGCCTCTTCGTCCCAGGACAGATCTCACTGTAGGCGCCTGTCTGCTCATCGTGGCTTATTTGAAGGTGGAATATGAAAGTTTAGGGGAAGCTCTTCTGCAGGAGAGGAACAGAGATCCCGCTGAAGTGACACAGTGATGCTACCCCTTATATATATTTGAGAAGCTGGCCTTGATAGGATCAGGACATTAATTTAAAGCGCTTAAGGGTTTGGTTTGCCTGGCAGCAATAAATGCTCCTCAAAATGCAAAACAGCCCAGCAAATACTAACTACTGAGGAAATAAAAAGGAATCTAAATGTGCTCTGTTTGCAAGTTAGCTTAGAATATATTACGGTTTGAAGTGTTCCCCTAACTTACGCTAATTATAGTTTAGCAAACATTTTTGAAGAAACTCTTTGTGATTTGTTTGCAGTGTGTCGTTTGGGGTTTTGTGTCTCATGGGTTTTTGTGTATGATGGCATGTTTTGCAGACTTGCACTTTGTGGGGGTAATTTCACAATCTTTGGGTGCGGAAAAGTAACAAAAAAAAAAGTCAACCATGGAAAAACACTGTGGAAGTTGTGTTGTGATGGATGGATCATTTCTGTACCTGAAACACAAGCAAATTCACTGAGTTATGGGTCTGGATTCAACTGCAAGGACTCAAAATGCCCCCCAAAAACATTGCAATGCTGACCTTCTTTTACCATCATGAAACACCACCGAAACAGAGCAGGTTGCGTCCAGGAACTGTGGCATATTCCAGTTTGCTTACCAGATTTACGTTCTGTGCAGTCAGCAACATTTTCACTTGAGTAATGCTGCAAATTCCTAACCTGAAGTCCATTTGGACACAGTTAAATCTTTGGCCCTTGCTATATTGGACCCTTTACCAAGCTGGATGTCAGAGACCTTTTTGATCCATCTTCTGGTAGTCTCTACAGGGAACAAAAAAAAGAGCAGTAGCACGTTTCAGCCTGGTGAGATCCACCTCATTCAAGAAGCGACAGCTAAAAGCTGGGTGACTGCCAGACACGTCCGTGACACTCCATGGAGGTACAGCTCCAAGAGAAACAGCCCCTGGGTCTGTGCTTAGGGGAACTGGGGTGATTCACTCTCTGCAGGCACTGGTCTTTCTCCATCAACAGAGGAAGTCTTAATGAGTGGATTAGACTGGACACCAGAGAAGGCTTTGATTCACATCGGCAAGATGAATCTCTCTCTCTCTCCTAATCACCAGCCCAAGGAGGTGAGAGAATGAACCTAGCTGCCAACCATCTCAGGGCCTTCTCCAAACTGACATTTGGAAAGTCAAAACAATAGGCTTCTTTCAGCTCTTTGAGAGTAAAGTGTTTGGGAGAAAAAGAGACATTATAGTGCAAACAACTAAATGCCCTCAGCCTTTCCTGACTGAAGGGGAGCGATGCCTGGAGAAGTCTGCGTGTTATATGTACAACATGATGGTATCTGGAAACACCCGGTAGCTGTGTTCCTTCATTCTCATTAACCCCCTCCAAAAACATTTTCCAAGAGTTAGGACCAGGCTCTGCAAATCATAAAACCAGTGCTAAACCCCCTTAAAACATTAAACCTTCTAATATCAAGTTCTTAAAAAGAAGACATGCACACTGAAACCATAGGCTGTGACTACAGCACTGAGATTCACGAGGCTATTAATTGAACATGTAATTGCAACTTATGTGAGTTTGAGGGGCTGGTGGTATAAATTAGTTGCCTAAACAGATACTTTTGCTCTATACAAATGGGATAGTTCAACATATTTACAGCATGACTTCTGGATTACACCTTTGTTTATAGTATTTTAGGCTCACAGTTCATACTGGGTTGCCAGCACAATTGGTAATATCAGTTAAAACAAATATTAGAGACTTCAAGCTAAAGCTTGTAACTTCCCACATCCTTTAAGTTCTAAAACAAGATTTATCAGAAGTGAAATGCATATTTGAATCCAAACAAGAGTACAAAAGGCAATTGTTACAAGCTTTGTATAGGAAAACTGCATCCTGGACCAGAATTCAGACTGAAGGCTGGTGTGCCACTGCTCCCTTTCTGCACCCCATTATACACGTCGGCTGTGTGGGAGACACGTGGAACGTAGCACAGACTTCAATTAAACATCTGTGAACCAACTGTGCTGCAGCAGCCCCAGTTCCAAAACACCTCACCGGAGTGACCAGATTCCTGATAGGTAAGAGATTTGGGGCATAATTTGCCCAGTATTGGGTAAAATTTCTGTGTTAGCCAAATCCCTGTTACTGCTCCTGAATCCCAGTGAGAAGGCAGCTATGCAGAAGGTTCACTTAATGTCTTTTAGGTCTTTCCAAGGAACAACAAGTGTTTTGCCTGTTGGTACATAAGACCTCAAGAATTGACAATTTGTTACTGTGAGTATGGACATGGGAAATGGGAGAGTACTCTGAAGAAAAATTGCATCTTTTTGACTCAAAAAAAAAGGAGGGGAAGGTCTGAGGAAGCAAAAAAGGAAAATATTTTTATGAGGGGTTGGATGAGTCATTATGACAACTTGCAATCTCTCCCTTTGTCAGCATTCGTCTCCCTGAATGTGCTGCTGAAAATGGAATTCATTATAAGAACATGTGAAGTTCACTAATTTGTTTTTTGCCTCTGGAGATGAATCTGAACTAGCTCTTAAAATACGTTTTATGCGATAGTCTCAAAGAGCCATGCTCCATCTCTGTAATTATCCACAGCCATAGAAAACTCACTGCATTCAGATACGACAATGGCAATAACCTACCTATGCTAACACCATTTGATGGATGCAAGATTGGGTCATAATATGTATTTTTATACACATGTCCTGGACTGTATAGACTCTTGTCCACGACATCCATGAGATGTTAAAGAATTGATTTGATTAATGCAGCCTCATTGCCTTGTATCCTAAAGCCAAAGCTGTCCAAAGGAATTCAATCTGGTAATGTATTTTTTCTTCTCATTAGCCTACATCTGCTCTATGTTAGAAGACGAGGCTGGGATTTTCCAAGGGTGTTCCTCATAAAATTCATCAAACACTGGGCCAGGGTGCACCTTCTTCCCTTCTTCAGCCATCAAACTAGGCTTGTATTCTAATTTCATCTTTGAGACTCCCTCTATGGCTAATGGAAAGAGATAGGCATCTCCAGACGGTGATTCATTGCATCCTAAAATAGGCAGCTAAGACAGGTGGGAGGAATCCACCTCTGGAGGTATTTACCTCTATTCTTATTGACTACCAGAGGCAGTCTAGACAACCAGACAACTAGACCAGGCGCCCCATTTCTGGATGGTTAAAGTTAGGTGAAATTAGTCCCACCCTTTGGGCGCCAAATTTCTTTAGCACCTTTGAAGTCTTAATGAGAGTACACAACATCACACGCTCTCTAGATTTGCTCAGTTCCTGATGTATGCATATATCATATCTCTGTGCAGTGATTAGCGCCTGTAAAGCTGAGGCTTGCAACAAAGCAAAGGATTGGTTTGATCTTTTTCATGTTGATGTCTTCCTCCCACAGAACTGCACAGTGGAAATGAATGTGGGATGTATGGGAATCCGGGCCCCTGAATGGGATGGCATCACACTGCCTGTTACAGCAAAAAGATTAGAAAAGGAAAAAAAAATATTGCAGCTGTTATTTGGTTACAGCAACTTCCCTATAAATCTACAGAAGCTCTTATCCCTTCCAGCTGAAGCTGTTTTCCTGGGTGGAAGATGTTCTCTGAGCCATACAGAAGTAAGGAATTGCCCATGGAAGGTGGGTCAGGTCCTCCTGGGAAGCATATTCAGCCAGCAGGAGATAAGCTCTTCCTTTTGTTATGCTAAAACCTTAGTGCCCAAGCCCATGTTTTGATTTGTGCAGCTTTGTGATGTACTGCTGAATTTCTGATTAAATGCCTGGCTGATTCATGAAGCGCTGATGTTCAGAGAGGCTGGTCACAGGTTTAAAGTAAAGCACTTGCTAAATTAACTTATCAGATCTTGAAATGGGGCAGGAGGGGGATTTTGGGAGTGGGAAAGCAACCCTAATTCTGCATCATTTCCCTGACTTATTCTTCTGTTGCGTAAAAAGTGACAGGATCATCTATTTTCAATGGGAACACCATAACCTTTATGAGATACTTAAACCCCTTTTGATGAATATTTATGGCTGCTTGATTGTTCTTTTCTTCTCAAATCTTTCTTGTGGTTTTCTTCATTAAAGATTGTGCCTGTTTTCTTTTTTGCTCCTCTCATTTGATTGGGAAATAGCTTCCTATCACATGAGAATTATGGAGGGAGAGAAAGGTCTTCCAGTTCTGAATCACAATTATTTCGTCAGATAGGAAAGACCTTCCCTCTGGATTGTCCCTTTTGTAAAACACATATCTGTCCAACTTGCCTCTATATGGTTCATTTCTTTGTTCTGCTCATTGGCTTTCATCAGTTTAATCGCAAAACACTTTATTCCTTGGTGGTTGATTTATGTTACTAATTTGTTGGCTTCTTTTTTTAATCTGCTTGAATGTACAATAAAATATCTCCCTTTGATCTGTTTTGAAATGCTAAACTGGTTGTTGTAGGATTTCTAAAATGATGTGGAAAAAAAGCAGCCAAGCACATTCCTGAGTTTTTTCCCTATAATGACCCTATTGCAGCAGATTTTGAAGACGTATAAAATGTGTTTTGTCGTCACGCCTCTGTGGTAGACAAGCTATAAAAATGCAAAGAGACTGAGATGACTTCTCTATGAATCTTAAAACAGCCATTGAATAGCATTGGGTAGGAGCCCAATTTGGTGCAAATCAGCATAAATAAGCTGATTTTAAAAGGCTTCCATGATTTACACCAACCGAAGACTGGATCTACATGACAATCTCTGGGCAGCCCTGCCACTTCTGCTTAATTGTTAAGGCTTCTAATGAGCAGATATGTCTTGACCAATTTAGGAATGGGGCATTTCTGTATTCTTGGCAAACACTAAAAACCAAGTGGCAATACGTTTGTTCTCCATGAGATTTACTGGAAAAAGAGAAAAAGTTTAAAGCTCTTGAGTCATCAAGATAGAAGTGAGGGTGCTGTAATTTATGCAAACATCAGGACACTAAGCGAGGAAGCTAATAGGAGCACAAGCGACGTAATTACTCTTTGCTGACTACAGAAGGTGAAATGTGTTTTTTTTTATTGAGATTTCCTTTATGACTTGCCTGCCTGCATATGGATGACCAAACTGCTCCAAGTCAGTGAACAAAGAACATCACTGGAGTCATGGCCCTCCTCTCCATGACCCTGTGTGTCTCAGCACTACAACTCCACTGACTTGCCTAAAATTACGTCAGATAGACTTTGATGAAATGGTGAGTCCTAGAGAGCTCATTTCCAGAAACTCTTCCCAGAGCACTCTAGGGAAAGGATTCTGAATTAAATGTCACAGCTTGTTTCATACATAGCAAAGGCTTAATCAGGAAAAAAAAAGAAGGCTGGTAGGAAGCAGAAACTGAGTGATAATAAGATAAGTGCCCCAACACAACCCCCAGCCCTTTAAAGAAACAGCAGAAATCAAAAGGAAGATGTTTTAAGTGTCCCTTTTTTTATGTGATCCCAGTGGAGTTTCTCTGATGTGGTTTCATGAGGCTACAATGTTCTTGTAGCCAGGATGCCTCTTCCTTGTGTGTAAGGTGGAGTTGAGGACATTTTAACCACTGAAAGTAGAGCAAGGCTTTCATTTTTCTACTTTAGGTCTTACATCCTGGTTCTCCTGACTCTCACAGCTGAACTTTAGATCCAGGTGGCCCTGGGGCATGGAGATCCACCTGAAATCCTCACCCCTGGCCAACACATCCCTTGTGGGTGAGCTGAGTTTCCCATGCTCTTTGCAGCTCTGCAGCTCTCTCCACAGCTCCCTGCAGTCCTACTGCACAGTCCACCAGTGCCCAGAGGGGCTGAGCTCTGGCACGAATGGCCCCCACCTCTGGCCCTAAATTCTTCACTCCTAAGGATGCAGCTGGGACCACCAGAGGTAGACTGCTTGCCTACAGAGCTGCCAACGCTTCTGGAGGTGAATCCTCTGTGGCAGGCACTAGCATCTTTGGGTAGGGATGCTCTACCAGCACTACAGGAGGACTTGCATCTTCTGGCCTGTCTACCAGATCCACATCCCAGGTTGGCTTCGCAGCCAGAGATGTTGCTGCAAGGGGTGGTGATCACTGTCATGGGAAAGCACAGGTGGAATCGCTCGTGGGGAGGATTCAGCCTTCCTCCTCCCCCTGCAAACCAGAACTAGGCTGTTGAATGTTGTAAGGAAAACAGAAAACCTGGAGCTTACTTACACACTCTCACAGGGCTCCCAAGGCGTATCCTGAAGGAGAAGAAGGTCACAGGGTTATCCGTCACATAACTAGCATTTCTAGCCTTTTCCAGCCTCCTTGTCTCTGCCGAAGAGTCCCAAGGACTGAACGCTGCCCAGACGTGGTTGTAGTGGTACCCACCTGCTCTCGTCACCCTCCAGTAGAGTCTTATATGTTGCAATCTCGATATCCAGGGCCAGATTGACATTCAGCAGCTCCTGGTAATCCCGCAGCATGCAAGCCAGCTCATCCTTGGCCTTCTGGAGGGCATCCTGCAGCTCAACGTGCTTCTCCTGGATGTGTTTGAGGGCACAGTCCCTGCAATGCTCAGTCTCACAAACTGATGTTTGCAGAGAGGACACCTGCCAGGGGAGACACAAGAAGTCATTACTTTCCCTGCCCTCTTTCTTGCCATCCTTATCCTTGAAAGAGAAATTCTCACTTTTTTTTGAGAGTCGAAAATTGGGAAGTATTGAGGTTCCTTTTAGGAAAGCCAAATGTTTCCAAAATCAAATATCAGTTCTGAAGTACTACAGAAAGGCTGGACTTGTCCTTGTACTGCCAGACTGTGTTTAAGTCTTGTTTCAAGGATACCAATACCTTGTTCTAATTGGAACTAATAATTAAGGTTTTCCATTACTTCCCGTTATAAACTATATAATGAATTAGATGGTCTGAAAATTATACCAGTTTCTATGGGTGCTGAATTACTGGTGAGTCATAATTCTACCCTACTTATTGGATGCTTTGAACCTGTGTCAGAAGCATTGCCTCCTGCCAGAATTCCTGCTGGACCAATTTTAGCAATTTTCCGAGTGGCTGTAGCTAATCCAATGATCTAATTTCCTGCAATTAGTTCTTTGCAATAATCAAAATGATCCAACAGTAAATAGGCCAGCAGATAATCCTTATTCCCCGCTCAGCACTGGTAAGATCTTCTCTAGACCAATGGAACCGGTGTGAGGCAATGCTCCTTATAAAGACGAAAGAAATGCCACAGAGATGTAGAAAACATGACTTGGAATCTTACACCTAGGATCCAGTGAGTAAATATGATCCATCATACCTCCTTCTTCACATTTTCAAGGTCACACTGCCTTCTCTGGATCACAAAACTCAGCTCTTCAATCTCTTGCTGGCGGGACTTCATTTCATTGCAATCTCTCCCCTTTGCCTCCTCCAGCTCTCGGAACTGATAGTAAGAAAAGAGAGACCTGGCAATTAATGTTGGTAGTGTACCTAGTATAGAAGCCTTGCTTCTCTTTCCAGAGTGAATTATACTAGGTTTAGAAAAGTCTCACGACTTTACAGCTCCTGAGACTTTCAGCAGCAAGTGGAGCTTTCCTCCTGCAGTTTTCTCTGTTCAACTCACCTACAACCTCCCACCTACAGCCTTCCCAGCATGACTGAGTCTTGTCCCATTGCATTGTATCTGGTCTGGGGATGTTCTCCTGACTTTGAGACTTACAGATTGTAGCAGAATGGACAATTAGGTCCAGAAGTTATACAGTGAAGACAGAAAGAAAAAATCACCACCTTTGCACTACTACTTTTGACAGTGAGAGAATTAAGGATATGTCACTGGATGCTACAACTTACCCTAGTTCTGCACAGCGCATCCAACACTGCTTTGCTTTTCTGAGCTATGTCCTCATACCAACACTCAGCACTCCTGAGGATGCCCTCCGTGTCCAGGCCTCGGCTGTTGTCCATTTTCACAATGGCAGAGGTGTCACAGGGACTTCTCACCAGCTCAGCGATTTCCTAGAAGCCATGTGTGAGCGGCAGTAAGGTGTCAGTATGTCTCTGTCCCTGGATTTCTTATCTCACACTCCAGTGGAAGTAACACCACCACTGAGAGTCTGACCTGAGCCACAGCCCAGGAGTTGAGACTAGATTTGGTCACACATGCAGCTTGAGGGTTTGGGGGTTTTGAGATTGCAAAATCTTCCTTATCTGGGATTCTTATTGCCTCCCAAAAAGAGCCAGATGGATTGGTTTAATCAGGCCTAAATCAAGAAGCAGCTGGTAGGAATAGCTGCCATCAAGCAAGGTTGGGACAGGAGCATCCATACCTGAGCAGAAACACATTTCAGGAACTCTATCTCCTGCTTTAGGGTTTCCACCTTTGCTTCCAGCTCTGCCTTGGCCAGATAGACACAGTCCACATCCTAAAAGAGTTTCCAGACAGTTAGAAGTCAAAATGGTACCTACACAGAGACCTAAGGCAATGTAATTATATTTTTAGGGTAGGAAATTTTGTTGAGGAAAAGTCATTGGGAAGCTCAGATTTCCCCTGAACAGCAACAGCTAAGGGGGTCCCAAAAGCATATACAATACTGCTGAGTTCTTGCCTGAAAGACATCATGACTTGGGCATTAGGACTAGAAAGCTGTCAGTTTAGAATGAAATGTCCTTTCTGTGCTAAAGGGCAGAGGTGTAATGCTCTCTGGCAATACTCTGTGACATGTTTTTCTGTATCCATACTTGTCCAATGACTTTTAACATTCTCAAGACCTGACCCTTGCCTTGCAAGGAGCAGATCAGAGGAAAGTCCTTGGATCTCTGCATCCAACCCTTCCATTCATACCAATTCCTTACCTTCTTCAATAACACAAACTCGTTCTCAGCAGCCGTGCGTCTGCTTACTTCCTGCTTGTATCTGTTGGGGAAGAGAAAAGACTGGTTACTGGGTCATTCTGAGACTGGAGACCTTGTTTGAGTATTTAGAGGTCAGGGTGCTATTGGATCTCAGCTTCTTGGACCTCAGAGAGAAGTCTATTGATACGGACAAAAATTCAAGTCCCATTAGACAAGCTGTTGGAGCTCACTGCCCTGTGGATGGTTTCTGCTCACTCACTTGCACCTGAACTCTTCAACGAGCTTCTCTGTGTCGTTCAGCTCAGGTTCCATCTGCCCCTGCTCACGCAGCAGCGAGTCCAGCCACCTCTGCAGGCTGCAAATGAAGTTGTCGAAGACGTGCTTGGTGTTCTTCTGGGATGGCAGCACCTGCTTTTGCAATAGGTCCCATTTGGTGGCCAGCACCCTGTTCTGCTGCTCCAGATGCTGTACCTGCATTCAGAAAGCAAAGCCACCTTCTTCAGGCACGTGCTTAGCTGCATTGTATGGGGACCAAATGAATGGGGGGGGGGGACCAAGGCTTCTTCTGAGTCAGTGTTTCAGGGGTTCATTGTGGTTTGAAGGGGATGAGAGGACAAAAGGGGGGCATTGCAGTCTTCCTAATCCTATAATCCTAGAGCAAACTAGGCATGCTGCTCTCCCATTCTCCAGGGAAGCCCTAGACAGTACAGCCTTTGTGGCAGCTACAGAAACCATGGAATATTTAAATAAATCTGCATATCAAATGGCTGATAGTGGAAACCATGTTTACCGATAGGAGACAATGCAACTTTACAAGGTCTAGCTGCACAGAGAGAAGTCAACAGTGCAGAAGCTCAGTAAGATACCTTGGAGGAACAGCTCCCTTTCACTATGAATAATAAAAACAGATGCAGCTTATCAAAGCACATAAACACATAAACCAGATTAAAATAACATTATCAGCTAGATCTGCATTTGCAGCTCATAGTACTGGAGTCACACATGCTAAAACCAGCATACAGCTCAGGTGATAGGATGAGAGGAGAGGAATCAAAGACCTGAGCACAAAAAGGTTTCCTTCACACTTAAACCTCATCATTCCTTTAAGTCTCGTCTCACCTCTCACCTTGTCAATCAAAGAGGCAAACTGGTTATTGAGGATCTTCATCTGCTCTCTGTCCTGCTTTCGGATGTGCTGGATTTCAGGGTCGACCTTCACATCAAGAGGCTGCAGCAGGCTTTCACTGACGTGCACCTCACAAATACCTTCACTTTTGCAGCTCCTGCTGTGGAAGCCTAACCTGTGACTCCCACCTTCACTGTTGGCAGGGATGCCCCTGCACCTCCAGCCTCCACAGACCCTCTGTGCGAGGCTTCGGTCAGAAGAAAGCCATTTGCACCTATCTGTGTTTTGGAGGCTTTGGCTGCTGTGTCTCCAGGCTTCATAAGTTCTTCCAAATAGCACAGCAGAGGGGAAAACACTGCTTCGGCACTGGCTCGTGCCGCTCGCAGCAGAAGATGATGAGAAGAACTTTCTTCCATGAAAAGACCTTCCAGCTGACAGCTGCTGGCTCATGCTGGCAGTCGTGATGGAGGAGAGGATGCTGGAGGACAGCAGAGCATGCAAGTCAAAAAGGGGCCCCTCTGCTCTGACAGCCCTGGGTGCGTCCTTTATACACATCTCAGAAGTGGGGCTTCGTTGATGCAGATGAATAATTTGGGGTTTTCTTGGGGTTTGCCTTAGCTGGCAAGGTTTAAATAGGTAGGTTTAAATATGCAAAACAATGCATAACATGGAACATTTGTGAAATCCTATGGAATTTTACTGGTTTTAAATTGCTTCATTTGCATATAGAGCTTGGAAGGTCCCTTGGGCTGGGTTTTGTAAGGATTCTTCTTTTGTTTTAGTTTGTCCTCCTTCCTTACATGAATTACAGTTTAGCAAATGGCCTTAAGAGTGTCTCCCTCTGTCAAGGACAATCTGTAAAGGAGTGTTCTGTTGAACAGCAAATGAGAAGTGATTTTTGCAGTATCTGTTCTTTTTGTAGTCACTCCCTTCACAAAGGGTGGTATAAGTCCATGAGGCACAGCCAAAGGCAGCCCGGTACTTGGAAGCTGGGAACCATAGTGTGGTCCAGACACACAAATTTCCTTGTGGTGGTACAAGAGTGCAAAATACTTCTTTTTTATAAATAGCCCTCCACACACCATCCCCTGTTAAAGACCATAACTGACTGAGCAGGACCTATCTCTTCCAACTTTTGATGCTAGGTCTGCTGAGAGACAGGCATGTCTGAGAGATTGCTCTCCAGAGAGCCTTTATCTTCTTCACTGAGTCCAAGAAAGTCTAAAATGACCAGCTCAGACTTGGATGCTCAACTTTTAGATGAATGAATTACTGTATCGACATCATCTCGTTAAGTTTTTGGCTTTGGTTGTATAGAACACATTGAAAAATGGCGCTCGTGTGGAGAAGACAATAAATAGCTTAGAAAATAGGAAGCTCAGCCACAAGGCTGTTAGCTGGATGCTTGTTAATCATTTAATTGGAAACTGCAGTAGGCTTGGCCTTGGTGGGCAGACTATGAATGCACCAGCAACCAGTATCCTGCGAAAATACCTTATTAATACAGCTGCTGTATGGTTACTCTCTGTTACTATCCTTTATATTTGAGTTTGTAATTAAAACCCTTGGAATACCTCAAGGCAAATAAAAAAGATTTATTAGAATTGCTTGACAGATGGGGAAGAAAAGGCTGATAAGTTTAATATATTTGCTGAGAGCCTCACAATACCTCAGAGGTGGAGCCAAGATTACATCTCTGTCCTTGCGGCTTCTTGCCAAAGTCTCTTTCAAAACAGAAAGGTGAAGGGTTTCATTTCAGATGATTTGAAAGAAATGGTTTTCCCCTGCTATTATGCCATACTAAACCTTAACTCTTTCAACAGGCTCAAACCTTGGTCAGTGTTTTTTTGGCAATTAAACATTTAAGCATTTCAAATTCCTAAGAAATGGGATAGTATTTCACGTGCTCATGTCTTTCCTTGGTTTTGCAGGGATTTTTTAATATTTTTTTTTCACTCCCTGGGCTCACTGGAGGGCTTTTTCTCCACCTTTCGCAAGGAGGCTGATGAAAACCAAAACTGGTTACCAGCAACCTTGCTGGTATTCTGTCTCCGAGAGTGGCTGATGCCAAAAGTTTTCTTGTACCTCATTATTTGCAAATGTTCTTCACTGGAACAGCTTGCCCTTAGCCCAGCAAGAGAGATAATTGATGGTATGAAGTAGCTGGAAAGACAACTAGCTTAATTGCAGGTTCTTGACAGCTCTATCAATTACACCTACACACAGAAGAGCAGAAATGATTGAAGTCCTGGGTGTCTCGGCTGCTTAAATACAGGCAGAGTCCATGGCAATCCCATCTGGAAGAGCAGGATTGGAGCCCGGGAGGAGGGTTCTTGGCCTGGAGCTGCTCTGACTCGGTCTTCATTTTGTGCTTCCAGTTTGTCTCTCCTTGGTCTCCCACTGAATCCCCCCGCCCCCGCTGCATCTGCGTGGGCCCAGTGACGAGGTACCACGATGCTCGATGGTTCTCCCGCACCTTCTGAGCAGGGGTGGGTGATCTCAGAGCACTCTGCCTGGTCCTGCTGCTAGCAAGGGAAGTTTGACTCCTTCAAGCAAGAGTTAGCTCAGAGGTTTTGTTTCCTTGCTGTGGCTAGAGCCTACAGGGTCATGGGTGGTTTCAAAAGTTTTCCTCCCATAGATACACTTTGATAAGGAAAACTTCTGAACTTGGGTTTTCACATCCCCAGACATAGCGAAACGTTCATCCGTCCAGATCAGTCTCACCTCTGGCTCTGAGTCTACATGTCCCCTGATGACTCCGAGTCCCCAAAAGGCATATGATGCCACCTGGTGCAACCCTTGGGCTGTTCTCATCTGCCCAGCTTGGGCCGTAGTTTAGAGGAACGCAAGGTCAGCTCTGCCTTTCTCTCCCAACTTCATCTCATCCCACCCAACTTGCTGCAGGAGACAAAGTTTTTGAGTGTCATTTGACAGCAGTCTCCAGGTTTAAAATACAGAACTTCTCCACTTGCTTCCATCCCGTTGATGGAACTCATGTATTCATGCCAGAGCAGTTGTGCTTGCTGCAGCTCCCTTTCAGGGGAGAGAGGGTTGTACGTGTATGTGGGCACCAGGGGAGTAGCTCCCAGGGTAATCACAGCTCATTCATTTACTTCTAACTACCAGGAATTTTGGAAAGGGGCCCAGCAATGAAGATAGGAGGCCCACAGTTTTCATGGTGCTACAATGTAGCCCTGACTAATTTCACAGCTTTTTGCCAGAGCAAATCAGGAGGGAACTTCTTGTTCCGGCCACATCTGTACAGCAAAGAGGGCTCAAGCCCAAAACTCCACCAGTCAGAGAGAGACTGGGAAAGCCAGCACAGTGACCAGCTCTACACCACTACAGTACAACTTGTTTCTCCCACTAGGTGGTGGTATCTAATGCATCGTGAACTTCCCTGTCCACACGGGTTCTTGGTTGGGTTCTCGGTGGTGACATGAGCCTGTTCACACCTAGTTCAACATTCAGAAACCTCTCAGGGTCCCACTAGCAAGAGCTAGCTCACAGCTGTAGAGGGCAATATTTAGAAGCCAGGACAGCATGGGAACAATAAGGTCCTCAGTCCTTGCAAGAAGGTGAGATTTCATATGGATTTGTACTCCAAGGTTGACTATGAGCCAGGGATGTTTTGTAAAATATGTGTGCATCCAGTAATGAACCTCTGGCAGGAAAAACAACCCTGAGATAGAGACTTACCACCAGCTTTAAGGACAACTGACCTACTGCCATGTTCTTCATCACCTTGGTGTCCTCCCCTCATACCTAAAATCTTGCTCATCATATCAATACTCTTTGGAGGCTCAAGCTGTGCCTAGGCACAGGGTGTCAGTAGACACCTGCTTTCAGTGTTACATCCTGAGCATGTTTACAATGTTGTGATGACTGATAATACGTGCCCCAGTACGTTAACTGACATTAATCTGAAGGCCCCACCTTATGATCTTCTTCTTCTCATGACTTCAGCTCAGCCCCTGAACCTCAAAACTAAAAATGTCTCTGGGCACAGCCTTAGACAGTCTATCTTGTGGCATTTTCCATCAAAAATGCATGGGCAATATCTAATTGACAATAGCAACTTAGTGTTGAGTCAACGAGAAATCAGCAGTGGATATGTCCCCATGCTCCCCACATTGACCTCTTTTAGTCACTTTCCACACTTTGCATGTGCTGTGGTGGTAGAAAGAAAATCATCTGCTTGATCATCTCAGCTCAAATCTGTATGGTCCAAAGACCTGAAACTCAGCCTCGGTCTTAACAGAGCTGAATACACAAGCTCCTTACAGATACTAGCAGAAGTTGGACCATATAGCTGCTGAAGGAAAGGAACCACAAAATTAAGCATTTAAAAAATATTATCTTTTTAGACAACTGAAATCCTGGATGAGATTTTTCTCTCTTACTTAAACAGAGATACTTTTATATGGAACGAGGTGCCAGAACACTCATTTCCAGAAACTGGAGATATCATTATAGCTTAGCTGACAAGCAGAACAGGTTTTGATATACCCTTCCAAACCATTCCTTCACTAAATTAGCCCAGCACTTAAGGCTATGTACTACCAGCATGTAAACAGTACTTCAAACAACTTAGTGGAAGTGCTGATCAAGCCTCTCCTAGGAGTTGGGGGTTAGCAATCTCTTTTCTAAGCTGGTCTCCCAGGCTCCTGTTATAGTCAATCAAAACAGATGGTTTGTCTGATCTCCAGCGGGTGACTCACCCAGTACTAAGGTAGATGCACAAATTAGGTCTTTTGAATTGCCTCCCAAAGTGCCTACTTCTCTCCATTGATTCTACCTTCTTCCTTTTCGACCTTTCACTCTACAAAACAGATCAGTAAAAAACCCACAGACCTGACCACAGTGTTCATAATTATTCTTTATTTCTTCTGATTAGAGATGAGAAGCTCTAGGCACCCTGTAACAATGAAACTAAAGCCCACCAGTACTTGGTAGTGTGCAGAATTACCTTTCACAGCTTCCACTTTTTATTGTAAGAGAGGAGGCTTTGTCTTGATTGAAAAGTCTTACCTAATGTCTTAGATGAAAAATGGGGTTGTGATGGTGCAGCTTATTTATCACTTGGATCCTGAAGAACTGAACTGTTTCCGTAAGTGATGTAGAAGCAGCCATTAACAGTGAATAAACTGTCCCCACTGTTGAAGGGTAGCTGTGCATGGTGTTTTGCAAGCCAAGGTAAACTCATACCACCCACACACTGAACCTGTGGGATGCGAGCCAGCACGGATGAAAACACAGGCTCATCTCAGCAGGGTTTGCTAACACAATCTCCAGTTTTCACTACCACAGCTGACTGCTTCACAGCGTGTGTGGGGCTTTCTGCATTTGATGAGGGCAGTGATAACCTAGTTTTGACTGAAATACAGTGTCTAGACCTCCCCACATGAAGGGTACTCATAACTGCTTCCAGACTATGCTATAAAGGTTTGATTTAGCCCTTTGTGGCTCCCTGTCAACGTTCCCTAGTTGTTTTCATGGCTCTATGGCCATCTGCAAATGGGTCTTCACAGTGGGTTTCCCACCAAGCTGAGTATCTCACTCACTGGCTGCCACCCCCAAGACCCTTCACAGTTGGATTTCCTGGAAAAACAGTTAAGAGCATCCTACCTTCCCTTCGACTGGGCGAAAGACATGAAATATTCCTGATGGGATTGTGACATTCCAGTTATCTAAGTGGAGTGTTGCTAAATTAAGGTGACACAGTTGCATTGAGCTTCTTAAACTTTCCTGGTAATGTCAGCTTCTCTGCTCTTCATTAGAACTTTTGAATGGACTTAAAGGAGGTTCTATGAGAAACTTAGAAAACATATTGCTTCTTCTGCATAGAAGTGACCATTGAATAAGATGTTGGCCAAAAAAGGCTTACTTGGGTACATACCATCCAATTTTGATTTGGGACCCCAGGGAGGAAAATGGGACTAGAAGTAAGATAAGACATTGTTGTTCATAGACTTTCTGGTCCTTTATCTGCAACTGCAATGCTAACAAAATCTGCATGGATTATTTGATCTGTCCCCTGGTTCTTTAATGAGTGACTCCTGGAGGGAATGATGGAACTGAGATGTGGCCATGTGTCCTGGTTGACTGGCTAGATTAGGCCAATAGGACTTGTCGCCTGGAACCCATTTTCACAGCAGATGTTCAGCCTATGGCCCCCCACAACAGACATTCTTTTGTAAACACCTTCTTCCACTTTTTCACTAATTTTTTTCTTGAGGTTGGATCAGATCTCCATAAACTGATTTATATATTTAAAGAGTCATTACAAAAATCTCACCATACACATCAGACTTGTGCCCACCCATAGACCAATACACACACAACAGACAGGGTTTCAAGCCTTTAGTTGCCAAAGACAAAGGTTCCAAACACCCTGAGTTGAAGTGCTTAGAGAAAGCCTAGGGAAACAGTAGCAACCATCACAGTATTGTCATAAAACAGAGGTGTGTGGCTGGAGAATTCAAGAGATGGATGCAGGGTGAAGAGAGCTTGGGATTATGTGCGACACGTTCAAACTAGCAGTGACCCAGTGGTGGGCACAAAAGCCACCCTTGCCTCTAATAGCAGAGGGAATGCCTTCTTCCCATTCCGTTGACAGACTTTGCAAAGTAAATGTTACATGTGAGAAGCATCTGCAGAAACACCTGAGCCACTTCCAGAGGTAAAACTGAAACCCCACCTTCAAGAAGACCACCCTCCTTCAGAGCTGGATTCTCTAGGACCACCTCTGGAACTATATATACCAGCTCCACAGCTCTCACCACTATAAACCCCTTCTCCTCCAGAGCTAGACCCAAAACGACAGCCATACGCTCCACTGCCAGAACTGCACATACCATCATGGCTCGATCCGCTGCCTCGAGAGATTGAGCTTCCTCCACCTCCAGAGCTGGATCCTATCCACCCAGAGCTGCTGCCCCCACCAGAGCTCATCCCTCCACTGTGGGGGCTGCATCTGCCACTGCCAGAGCTGGATCCCCATCCTCCAGAGCTGTGGCCACCTCCAGACATGGAGCCTCCACTGCCAGAGCTTCCTCCTCCTCCATGACCTGAGCTTCCTCCACCACCAGAGATGGACCCTCTCCGGCCAGAGCTGCTGCCCCCACCAGAGCTGCTGCCCCCACCAGAGCTCATCCCTCCGCTGTGGGGGTTGCATCTGCCACTGCCAGAGCTGGATCCCCATCCTCCAGTGCTATGTCCACCTTCTTGCACCAACTTCTCACTTTTCAAGTTTCCAGATCCTACTCCAAATATTCCTCTAGCTCTTGTGCTGTGGTCAATGACACCTGTAAGAAATAGAAATGATGTCCTACTTATTCTTTTTACTCAAAAAATTTTACGCACTGCTGATACAATACTTATGTATGGCCATCATTGTATGTACTGTAGTGGTCCTTGTCATATGTCTGTAAAGAGGCAACAAGGGTCTTCATTAGTAGATTTTCCTGTGAAATCTTTTCTCATATTGTTCTGGCTTTATTAGCTTATATTTAACATAACTTACATCTCTACTCCATACATTAACAGTTAGTGCAGCACTTCCTTTAAGAAGGCCAAGTGTACAGGTTTCTCTCTCCTTTAGCTGGCCCCCAATTTCCACCAGTTTTAGGACTCAATTTCTTTTCCTTCGGTTCTGACATGCACCGCATAGACCTATAGTGTAAAAGTGAGGTGTTTCCCACTTCCTACAGATTTGGTTGAACATAGCCAACAGGTTCCAAGGTCAGTAGCTCAATGTTGGCATATTAATGCATATACACATGTATTCACACACACACTCACAAGGGACTACCATTTCCTTCATGCCCCTAGGGAGCTCAAAATGGAGCTAAGATAGGTTGCTCTGATGGTAGGTGTTAAGTACCACAGACAACAAAACGGTAACAGTGCTTTGTTAAAAAAAACAAAGCAAAGCCTTGAGGTACTTACAGATTGTGGCTGGTGAGCCTTCCTGTATCCTGTGAAGAGAAAGTGACATTGAGATAATGCATCCAATAAAAGTAAAAGTCAGGCTAGGCTCTATCAGTAAGCCAATGAAGGAGCAATTCATCCTGGAGATCTAAGTGATAGGTTGAGGAATGGGACGCACTGCTTTGTACAGGTGCCTCTATCCAGGATGAATAGTTTGTACCTACCTGGTCTCCTCCTCCTCAAGAAGTGATCTATACATGGCAATTTCAATATCCAGGGCCAATTTCACGTTCAGGAGCTCCTGATAATCATGAAGAAGGCGAGTGAGATCATCTTTGGCCTGCTGCAGGGCATTTTCCAAATCCTGAAGCTTTTGCTGGCCATCTGTGATGGCAGAGCTCCCACGCTGCTCAGCATCTTTAATGGTTTCTTGGAGGCTGTTATTCTGCAGTGGGCAAAAACAGAACATGTCCATTTCCCTTCTACGGGACTGGGATATTCAAACCCTTCTGGCAGTCCCTGGAAATTAAAAGATCTGCCTCAATGACCGAACTTGGAAGATGTGTTAGACTGGGTAAATTAACCCAAATTAAATCCCAACGTAGACAGCCAAAATCTAAATCTGCTTCATTTTGAAGAGAAAACGTCATTTCTAGGTTTGCCTCCAAAGGATAGGCTACGTTGCACTGCACTGAGTCCCCATGTAAAAGTGACTTAAACAGTTTAGTCATGTTGGAAAGTATCAGCTTTACCTTTCTCCTTGCAATTTCAATTTCTTGTTGTAGTCTTTGGATCTGCCTGATAAGTTCCTGGATTTCCTGATAACTGTTCCTCACTTGCTCACGTTGATTTACCCACATGTTCTGAAGGTCCTGGTACTGATGTGCAGAGAAGAGAACAGACATTTTTGGTTTCTTTTCCGCTGAGCAGACAGACTTGCGTCCCCATCTTGTCAATGTTTACTCACCCTGCCCTGATACATGGCATCTACTTCAGCTTTGCTTCTCTGAGCAATTGTCTCATACTCCTGCCTGACTTCTTCAATGATGCCATCCATGTTCAGTTCTCTATGGTTGTCCATGGACAGAACGACATTGGTGTTGCCAACTACTGTTTGAAGCTGGGACAGCTCCTGCAAGGAAAAAAAAATTTTGGATTTTAACAGTTCATGTGAGCAGCCCAGGTTGTGTTACGAGGAAAGAAATGGCACCCTCTGGCCAGTTACCCACTGGAACTTCCCTACCTGCATCCCCCAGCTCCTATTGTTCCACCACCAGTTTTAATTTTCAAGTGTCTCTTCCAGGTTTCATGACACACCAGACCCCCTTTTCACTCACAGATGAAAAAGGACTTTATAAGATCAAAGGCCAAGGATGATCCACTCTCCACACCACTCTGCAATGTCCTGTTCAGGTGAAATTTCTGAAAACCTCCGAAAGATACTCACCCTTCAAGACCTGAGGATAAGTTTTTCATCTGAGAAGCATACTCACAGCTTCATGTAAGCATCTGAGGAACTCAAGATCCTGCTTCAGTATTTCCACCCGAACATCAAACTCCATTTTTCCCATGTAGGCACTGTCCAGTTCCTGTAAAAAAAGCCAAAGGCATATTTGTATTGCTTTGATCCTTGGCAAACTCTCCACTGAAGTGCAATTCTTGCAAGACTTGGTACATTTCTTTAAAGCCTTCATTCCTGGAGTCAAATAACGGCCCATGAAGCTCAGCTTTCGTTTGAAAAGCAATTGGAACAAAGGGAAAGTTTCTAACTCTTAGAAGAAAAGAATGGCTTAGAAACAAGCAAAATAGCTGTGGCAATAAATGTGTTCCTGGAGAAAATGCAAAACATAGAAACATAGACTTCATTAATTCTTCTCATAAAAAGTTGTCTAAATTTTCTCTTCTCCTATCTAAGCCATCTATATATTTAACCCCTAATAACAATGTCTCACCCAGATTGTGATTGAGTGAATAGAGAAAAAGACTGGCACTTTTTAAATACTCATCTTACAAAGGACTGATTCAGTCTCTAGAGGAAATTATTTCTCTCCAGTCTTGCAGTAAAAAGCTCAGGTTTTCGATGACTTCAGTTAGACGGGAGTGAGATGAAGTTAAGCAAAGACCCTGGTTTTGAAAACCTCAACACCATCCAGTTATTGCTTTATTTCTGAGGCTGTGATTTAGCTTAATGTCTTGGATTACTTCACCTTTTTAAGCTCCACAAACTCCTCTTCTTTAGATGCACGCTTGTTGATCTCATCCTCAAATCTGTTACAGCAGAGAAAAGAAACAGGTAGCTCATTGCCTGCCTTGCTTTTTCAGTCAAGTGGGCCAGAAACCAGAGGGAATCATCCAGAAAGGGAATGTGTCAAGTTTTCATTTAACTGCAATTTCTGGCAGCTGCAAAGGCAATTGCAAACCCTCTGCAGAACTATACGCTAAGTTAGCCTACAAAATGTGGCTAATATAGATTGATATACATCAGTTCTAACAGCCTTGTAATTCTGAACTAAACTTCCCCTATTTCAGAACTGTGGACATATATTTTTTGGGTGTAGCTAAACCAGGAGTGACTGTTCTCAACTTGACCCCATGGGTAAGGAGTCCTGGGTTACTCATTGCCTGGGGGAGGAGGGGCATGGAGGAGGACAGGAGGAGAAAAGAGTGGGGTAGATCTGCAGGGCCTTTGATTTTCCTCTTATTGTTCTGCTTTAGTCTTCCAGTGTCAAAGTCAAGTCCCATAATGAACCTACAAAGGCTACAAAACTCTTGAAGGTCTGAAGCTAAGCTATGCCACCCCAGGGCATGATTAGCATTGCCTTGGAAAATTCCAGTATGCTTTTTCCCAGACCTGTGATTATTCACCTCTTTTTATAATCTTCAACAAGCAGAAGCATATTATAAGCTTCTGGATCCAGCTGCTCCTTCTGGCTCTGGAGCATTTCTAGCTGCCTCTGCAGGTTGCTGATGTAAGATTGGAAGAAAGAGGTGATATTTCTGCTCTCCTCCGGTCGGGCACTTTGCTGCTGCAGAAGTTCCCATTTGGCCAGCAGAGCCTGGTTCTGCCGCTCAAGACATTGAACCTGAAAGGCAAAGCAGAAGAGTGTCTCAGCCACTGGAAAGCACCGGGGGAAACACTGACATCAGCATTAGTCCCTAGAGCAAAACAAATCCTAAGTAATATTTCCAACACTGTAACATCTAAAGGTTTTGCAAGGTGGGACCAACTGTAGTAACACTGGTACCAACACAGGAGACAGCTTAGACTAACAGGGGACACATCTCTTTTTTCCCAATATGTTGCATATGAAGGGCATGATTTTACTGCTGCTTCTCAAAGCTGCTACTGAAATCTTTGCTGGCTTTTCATCTCTTAAATGCATAATATTTAGGGAGATGATTGGGGTGGAGGGAGACTTCAGCTGTTTCTGAAGTACCTTAGACACCCAAATACATGAGAAGAATTATCCCCCTCTCAGAAGACCACATGGGACCACTCTCTTCCTAGATATACCTTGCCTTAGAGAAGAAGGTCAGAAAAACCTCTAACATGCAGAGCTAGTATTTTTGGAAACCAGAGGGAAAGCATCTCTTCAGCTGGGACACTGAAGAGGTTATAACCTGGAAGCTGACATCCAGAAAGTTAAAAAAAAAAGAAAAAAAAAAAAGGAGTTAAAGGAAAAGTGCTCCTATTTTTCAGGACTAAGCAACTTAAAACTTCTGGGTGTAACCAACACCTTTTCAGTAGGGTAATACAAGAAGCCATTAAGTCTTCACGTGTAACAAATAATACAAGCTTCCACACTACGCAGAGACACATGTCACCACTCAAAGGCACATGTCAGGTCTGCGTGGGTGGAAGTGTTTTTGTGGCTGTTTTGTTCCTGTGTCTGTGAGTAGAAACGAAAGAGAAGACGACAGCAGACAGAGATGGAAGTATTGTAGTGTAAACCAAGAAAGAGGTAAAGAAGAAAGATGTGGGGGCCACGGGCCACCTGAAAGAGGCTAGGACCTCCAAGCAAAGAAGCAATTTGTTTTGTAATTCAGAGAAATGCAACATTTTGCTTTGCTTGAGAAAAAGAAACAGAACACATCAAGGATGTCCAAGTCCATCACCCATTTTTCATGGTAGCATCAACAATTCCCAGGCACCAGAATATTTCTAGCCATGCAGAAACCTTTTTCCTCAAAAGAGAAGTCACTTAACGTGTCGGTGACATCCCAGTAGTTTGTTATTGTCCTGCCACAAAAGGCGACTCAGAGATACTTATCCCAGGGCTAAATGTAAGTGATTCATGCAGCGGCGTTTATAGCAAGCTATTAAAAACTTCACACCAGCACAAGGGAATCTAGCCAACGCTGTGGTTTGGGGGGAGAGAATATGCAATGTAAAGGTGTCCCCGTGCCTCACACAGGCAGAGCAGCACTCCTTATATTTCCCCCTTCCAGATAACAAGTAAAAAAGAGAACAGGGACTCACCTTATTGATGAATGATGCAAATTTGTTGTTGAGAGCCTTGATCTGCTCTTTCTCATCTGACCGCACTCTCTGGAACTCGGGATCAACTTGTACTTGTATTGGCCTCAGCAGGTTGGTGTTGACACGGACTGCCTCGATGCCTCTGCCAACACCAGCCTGCCCAAAACCCTGTCCAGCCCCTTGTTCACCAAAGGCACTTCTACCAAAGCCTCCTCCAAGAACCTCCCTGCCTGAATTTCTGCCACACATGCTACCAAGCCCTGCTTCACCACCTTGAAAAGCTCCCACAAAATATCCTCTTCTACCAAAGCCCCTATCAAGATGTCTCCCACCACCAAATCCCAGGCACCTCCCATATCCTCCTCCTTCTCCTCCATAGCATCCACCACTAGAAACATCCCTAAACCCACCAAGGTTGTGGAGACTCCTGCTGCCATAACCATACCCATAACCACTGTACCTTTCTTCTCCTCTATTGTCTTCACAATAGCTTACGGTAGATGGACTTCTCCCACCACCCAGTCTGCCACAGTGAGCAGAAAAAGAACTGAAACTCCCATCCCCAAATCGGTAGAAATGTTGGCTCATAGCGTCGCTTTCAGAGCGTTAAGAGAAGGCGAGAGCACAGGCACGGTAGGTTCTGAAGCAGGAGGAGAAATGAGAGGGAAGGATCCTCAGCTCCTCTGGTGGGGGTGACAGAAGTTCTCCTTTATACGTTCTGGAGGAGTTAGTCTCCATTCCGTGGTAATTAGCAGGTCTGTTAATGTTGTTATTGGGTTTGGTTCATCAGGCAGCAATTAACGGCCGCCTGAAGAGAGGTCAGAGTAAACACCACACACCAGTGGAGGAATTGTGAAATTCCCCAAATCCTGCTTGACTCATGAGCTTTGTTCAGATGAGATTTCCTTATCTCATTAGCCTGCCCTCCATCATTAATTACAGTTCATGCAGTTATCCATGCACATTACCATGGTTTGTTCTCTCTCCAATTTCCCCACCTCTTTTGGCATTTTATTTCATGAGACAGAAGGCCTTGATATTGTCCTCATATTGACTTCAGGGTAGCTCACCTTGCTTCACCACATCATCAGGAGTACCTACTACAGAAAGCAAAGACTATTGCTCCCTTAGCTTCCCATTCTCTCGTTTCTGTCATTCCCAGTATATCCACCCAAGAGTAAGTATTACTTCTGCAGGGCTGCAGGGAGAGGGAAGGTGTTGAGATCTGGTCTTCTTGCTAAATGCCTAAAAAAAAAATTTGCCTTTGGCTCATAAAGGTGAAATAGCATCTAGAAACCAGAAAAAATGGAATCTCTCAGTATCCATTTTAGCTTTAAGTAAATGGATACAGAGTTTTAAATGTAAAAGAGAAAGCTCTGAGATAAACTTTAATCAATTAAAGTAGACATTTGACTATTAAAGATTAAGATGAGGTCACCTTAGGGAACAGATGACCCATCACTTCCATACATTAGGACTCTTGGCCCTTCTGCTCTTGGCTGCTCCTGGTCTTCCATGTGGGAATAGTTAGACCACGAACTGAAACTACCTGTTTGTGGATTGTTGGTTTTTAAAGGCCGCGCCACCGGATAGCTGAGATACCAAATACAGTGCTGGGCTCCAGGCTTTTCTACCCAGATTGTCCTACTGAGCATCTGCCTGATCCATCCCTCTAGTGGAAGGTGTCCCTGCCCATGGCAGGGAGGTTGGAACTAGATGATCTTTAAGGTCCCTTCCAACCCAAACCATTCTATGAGTCTATGATTCTCTTTCCTCTCCTCATCTCCATGCAAGACTCCACCTTTCCAGTCTGAGCACACTCCGGTGCAAGACTCAATGGCCATGAATTCATTTAAAAAACATTTGGGAGCCAAATCCTGCTGCTGACAATGCCACTGAGAGCCTTCAGCCTTGACTAGTAGCTCTAGAAGATAACTGAGATCTGATACACTGTCCCCAAAAGCACTGGTGGAACAATTTCCACATGGCAAGAACCTCCCCTTTGTCCCCTACACGACATTAGGAGAAGCTGGGCTTCACCCGAAGGGGATGTTTTTCCTTCCAAAGGTGCTGGATAAAGCCACACTATGAACCCTTCAGTTATATAGAGGTTATGTGGTCAGGGCTTTGTAATCCTTGCTCTGGCTCCACTTGGAAAGCACCTCGTAAATCCCCTAAATGAAAGGTTTGTAGGGAGAGGTTATTAGACCAGCTGTTATTAGACCAGCTGATATATCTAGAAGCGGACAAGATTTGGGGCACTCAGCGACCAGATGAAGGGTTTTCCCAGAAGTAGACACAGTGTTTTTCCAGACAACCAGACAAGAAGTACTACTTTTCCCTACCAAACTGGATCTCTTCTAGCCTTATACCAGGAATGGCCAACTGGTAACCCAGACCTTCCATTTGCGCTATGTTTTTGCAATTAATCTTCACTAGTTACCTACATTTTACTGAGAATTTCAACCAAATTTCTGACTGAATTTCCCCTTTTTATATACCTATATAAAAATCTGGCTTGAATCGTGAATTCAGTGTCCCGCTGTAAAGAATAATTACAGTGAACAGAAAAAATGTGTAATGATCATAATTTTAAATTGAGTAGGGGGGAAATCTGGAAACAGATCTATTTCAACACATCTGGGTAAGGTTTGCCAAAGCATTAGGATAATACACAAAAATCTTCCCTGTTCTCTTTTAGTTGGGCTCAATATTTTCTAGACACTGGCGCATCTCAACAGAAACCAAAGTCAGTTGTCCTCCTTCACTCCCATATTTCAGTCAAGCTAAAAGATGCTTTCAGAACTGTATCCACTCTCTGCAAAATTCTGTGTAGGACTAACTGTGTCTGAACAATGCTGAGACCGAAATTCCTGTGTGACCTTGGAGCCATTATTAGGCTCAGATAAAGATTGGGAGGACAATATATGACTTCCCGTCAGGAGGAGGTGAGACTGTGGACATGACCCATGATTTCCTTGTGAGATCTGAGCTAAAATGTCCCTTTTGCTTGCCTTAACGATTCCTCAGCAACATACACAAGAGTTTCTAAAGGGTTGCTGTTGTCTGCCTGTCTGTTGAGTTTATGAATGACTACTTTGAGTGCAATTCATCTTCATCCCCACTCTTTCAGTTTTGAGTGTGGCTTATTCCAACACACACTGCATCAGGCAATACTTTAGATCATCACATGGATCTTGGAAGGAAGCGTTATGACCTAGGGGAGGGAACACCCACAGACCAAATAAGCCAGCTGCCTGTGGAACAATGGTTAGAGAGATGTTGATCCAAAATTACTGCCCTACATACATACATCAACTCGCTGCATGAAGCAAACCAGGTGGCAATTCATACAGAACCACTGCGCTGATCTCCGAGGCAGCTGCGTCCTGCTTGAGGAGGCCTCCTGCAAACCCTGCATGAGAAGAGCAGCCAACCTACCCCACATGCCACATAAACCAGAGTGCAGCATGTAGGCTGCTGTTGTGATCATTGCTGGCACCAGCCTAGCCTTGGCACAACAAACCAAGCCACACCTGAACCTGTCGAGCTGGCTCCAGAAAGAATGATGCACCCAGAGAGATGTTCATGCATTCTGCAGATGAAGGGGGAGCTTCCTGTGATACCTTCCTCTTCCCTGCAATGAGTTGGCATCGCTCTTGGATGTACCTGGGTGGATTCTGCTCTGATCCTTTAAAAGAAACAGCAAAACTGTTCCCAACATGCATGGAGCAAAAGGACCACAGGTTCAACCAACATCCTTACCACAGAGATGGGTTATCACAGAATCTACCAGGGAGTGGAAGTCTTCAGGGGCTGTTGAGATAGCCACATGGTAAACCGGGCTTTTTGTTGTTGGGGATTTTTTAAGATAAATTTAAATTGCATCCCAAAAGTTATTCATGTAAAATTGACTGCCTGGGCTTCTTCTATAGCTGTTGGAGGAAGCACAGAACATCCACGTGTAATTCCTCCCATCCAGAAAAGTCCGTGAAGCAGGTGATGATGTTCCTCCTATCTGGCAAAGCCTCTGAGACAGGTGGCATGAGCGTGCTTTTCCAGATGGTCTCATTTCCCTCTGTGGACCATAAAGGAACCTGGAGAGCTCACTCAGCTCCCGAATTTCAGGTGGTGAAAGTAATGTGAGTTGAGCCATCCTCTATCAGACCTATGTCACAGCAACTGCACCAAGGCTTCGCATTTTCAAACTATAAAGACAATTCACAGACAGACCCAAGCTTTAGCTCTTTGAGTGCAACTGATGCAGGAACCTGCCAACCTCCACAACCCACATCCATCTCTGTCCACGTCCAGTCAACCCAAATAATAAATGGGAATAATAAATTCTTGTACCTAGGCTAATGCTCAAAGAAATGCCTCTACATTCTTGCAGGACCATTTTAATCGACTCAAAACAGAAAGCCTAAACCACTAAAATCCTGCAGATGTCTCAGAAGAAAGATCTAGCTACTTTTCATCACTGCCAAACATAAACTAGTGATCTTTACATTGGCAGAGCAGAGGGTAGATAAGTAAGTACAGTAATATACTTATTACTATTAAATAACCCCTGCACACCCGTACAAGTGGACACACAGCAGTGTAGTACAGTAGTACATTAATAAATACAGTACTTAGATTTAATAGCTGTCCAGATAAAGTAGATAGACACACACACATAGGATTGAAATAGTAGATGTTGATCACTAGTTGCCTAAATACCTGCATAAGTAGAGCCCTAAGTCACTTAGAAAATGGGACTGAAATCACATAGGCACACTAATAAAAATGCCTTTCATCCCACAGACTTTCATTTTCTCACACCTTCTGTCATAGGGACTAAAAATAACCTTTTTCTGTGGTCAGTGGAGGCAACAGGAGATTCTGAGAAGAGAACAAAAGGAAGAGAAGTGTCAAAAACCTTGTAATGGCAGGAAAAAAAAAAATGTGAAATGCTGGTATTCTACCAAAGGTTTATGCTACTTTACTTCTGAGGCTCTCCAGCTTGGAGAGCACCTTGCCTGCACAAATATATTGTACTGATTATACAGACACTTCAAGGTAGGAGCAGGAATATGATCCCAGAGATCAGATGAAGTTTCCCTCACCCAGACCTACATCTGGGTAAGACTGAAAGTTGCTATTACACCACAGAAAAAAGCCCCGTATCAGGGCATGTTCAGAATTACATGAGCTGTCAATCCTTCATAGTAAAAGTGAAGCTTCCTGATGAGGAAACTATAATTAGA